TATATATATATATATATATATATATATATATATATATACACATATATATATATATATATATATATATATATATATATATATATATATATATATATATATATATATATATATATATATATATATATATATATATATATATATATATATATATATATATATATATATATATATATGTGTGTAATAATTATTTAGGATCCATTTTCCTTTTATAGATACAAACCTACGTGTATATATTGATTGTAAAAGAATGGAATAAAATATACTGGTAAAAATACCATTTCTTTACTAACTACACTGGAGACGGGTTAGAGTACTTTAGCGTCTGGGTTAACGAATAGGAATGTGGCGTTAGATAACAAATTTGTAGATCGTTGTTGATTATACATAGGTGGATTTGACCCTAGAAGTCCCTTTTAAATCGAAGTCCCCCCGCGTTGAGTTGTCGCTACTTAAATTTCGTACATTCTCTATTTGCATGTTTACAATCTTGCATGCTTTTGAATTAGAGTTTCTCACCATTCCAAATATTGACGATCGGCTAGATAATATAACGATAATATAATTACACTACTCAGCATGTGAATCTACAAGGTCCCTGTGGATCGATATCCGGAACCACTGTTCTACAAAATGCGATACTGTATACTTGCGGTAATTTATACGTGAGGAAAACGCGTATCAGAAGCCCTCAAATAGAGATGGTGTTCTGCTTAGAATAAAATTAAGAATACTAGAGAATCTTTAGATTGAAACGGGAGGAATTAATGTCATTCCCATAATAAATTCATAAACCGGTCTTACTTTTAATGTTTTGAAAATGAACGGTCGATCCGATCGGTTGAGCAATGAATTGGTGACGGATCCGGTCCAATTAAGGTAGAAACCCGTAAAATTGCAAAATTGGGGTCGCCTTGTTACGAACCGGGATTTTTTTTTTCTATTATTTATTGTTGATTTATTTAAAATTCACCTTATGCTTATAATATTTTTATCAGTGCCTAAAAAAATGATTCAAGGATATTTTAGTACTCTTTGAAATTTAAACAATCTACTATTATATGTGAATATATTGCTTTTGTTAATTATTAAAATTATAGTTGAGTATATGATAAATTTGGTGTTCTCTTCTAAATTTATTATTCAATAATTAGTTAAGTTGGATATTTTAGATTGGTTTTTATTGTGAATAGAATTAATTTCAAATTGTATTCTTGCAATATAGTTACTTTAAAATATATAAGAAAGAAAAATAACGATTGAACCTAGGAAGAACTGGTCCAACCATGACCCCATGTGGCCGTGATTGAACTTGGGAAGAACTGTCCAACCATGACCCAATGTGGCCGTCCCGTTTTAAAAACATTGATTTTGAACACATTTTATGGTTTTCCATAGGATACCTCATTTTCAAGTAGTTATACCTTCTTTGTCTAGACATTGTCGATGCTCTCTCTTTTGAGGGTGATCAATTTCCCAATTAGGGTTGTAACAAAGATCTGCATCTTTAATTTCTTCACATTTTGTATTTTTAATTAACAAGCCAATTCCATCCATTGGACCACTAGAACATACGTGGTGGGCACATGAACTATTTAAGAAGTGGTTCAAATGGGTTATATGGGATAAGGGGAACTGTGGTAAGTGTTAACTTTTCTTTTTTAAAGTTTGATAGTTTTAAATAGGAAGTTTTTTAATTTTGTTACTTGTTTTTTTAGCTTGTTGTTGGGCCATTGTCGCCGCGACTCTCGTATCCTGGCAATATGTGTTGGATACCGACTCTTGGAGCTTTATTGTTGCCTCGCCCCAAGAGCTGATCGAACAGTTCGAAAGGCATTTTGAAGTGAGGAACACGCATTTCCAAACTGATCAAGACAAGTGTGGATGCCGGAGAGGTGATCCACGCCGTGCATTTGAGTTCATAAAAAACCACGGCATCAATATAAATCCAAACTATCCATTTATAGCCCACCTACGCACGGATTCACAAATTCCCACTGTAAGTATTGTTTAAGTTTGCTTAAGTTTGTTTAATATTAACTAAGTTTTATGTTAATTTTCAAGTTTTCAATTTAATTTCTAAACAGCATTCTGTCAAGATGTTCATTAAGGATTGGCTTGATATGAGGGGTTATTCTGTGGACCGAGTGAGGGATGAATTAAAACTTCATCCCATTGCGGCCAGTATAGAAGCTACCGAAAGTTTTATGCAGCACCGCGGAAATAGTGTAAGTCAATAATTAAAATAACGACTGTATTTTTTCGTGTTTCTTTATTTTATTTTATTTTATTTATTTATTTATTTATTTTATTTTTATTTCATTTTTTATTTTATGTTATTGTGTTATCACAGGACATTTTTCTTGGAGATTATATCTTTCATCCATCTAGTAGTACTGCCTTGCATAACCACGTTGTAGTTGTATACTCAATTGATGAGCACGAGGGAGAACTTTATTACGAGGTTCAAGACTCGAATCTTGACTGGGGAGAAGGTGGTTTTGGCAAAATCTTATGTTCTTTAATGAACCCCATAGGTGCTTGTAGCGGTGCGTATATAAAAAAGGTACACTCAGTTGACGAGCACGAGGGAGAACTTTATTACGAGGTTCCAGACTCGAATCATAGAAATATAACCTTATACTAGTCTATCTATATTTTTTTTTTATATCTATATCTATATCTATATCTGCACTACTTATAAAAGTGAGAATAATAGGATGGTTTCTTCCATTTTTTGGTTGTCCTAAAATACCCTCCAAAACAACCAATAGCTAAAGGACACATCAAAGGTAAAAATAAACTTTTACCTTATAATAATAATAATAATAATAATAATAATAATAATAATAATAATAATAATAATAATAATAATAATAATAATAATAATAATAATAATAATAATAATAATAATAATAATAATAATAATAATAATAATAATATTAACAATAATAATATTAACAATAACAATCACAATTATTATATAAAATAATTGGCGAATAATTCAATTATCTTATTGAAAAGATAATATTTTAAAATTGAATAAATATTGTCTTCCATTGGTAACATAGATGTAATAACATAAAAAGCTAATTTTGTTGACCAAATAAAATTTACCAAAAACTAAACATTATATTATTGGACGAAAAGACTAATAAAGAACTGTATATACACACATATAGATATTGAACAATAATGATTGCAAAATATTATTAAAAAAATCAATGCTTTTTCAAGAAATCAATGAATAATAAATTGTATTCTTAATTATTTAAATATATTTTAATTCTTTAATTTCTTAAAGTATCTGATTACTCATAATATCTAAATATATATTTTAAATATATGTCCAATAATTTAATTTTATTTACTTTTCAATTTTATATAAATAACAAGAATCAATTTTTATGTTATTTATTTTATTGAGGAAAGATAATATTTAAATTTTAAATGTATTACACAGACTTTTTAATTGATTAAATTTATAGCATCATTTTTCGATTATTTTTATCCAATAAATAATGAGATATATTAACGGTATTATTATATTTTAATATTACAATACAAAATTATGCTTGAGGGGTAATTGTTACAAATTATACTTTAAGGGGTAAGTGTTACATTGGTTAGAATTTGGACAATCATCAAAGATAAATACGATTAATTATTACATACATGAAAAAAAGTAACCGACTACGTTTAGGAATCAATAAGAATTTGGACAGTCAACAAATAATAAATTTATAAAAAGGAGAATGATACAAGATTACTTCCTCTTGCTCCATTCGTTTATATTCATTTGATAGTATAATAATTATTAAACTGTTGTATTTAGATCTCCGATCGGTAATTGATAAATATCTTCATGCATGTTGAAGTGAAATACATATAATTTCATCTTCCATAATCATCAGATGTAAGTTTAGTCAAATGTATCTCATTCAAAAAGTTATTTTGCATCATCGATATGCACTATCACTTTCTACTAGACTTTTCTAAATTATATACTGCATTTGGTCGAATGAATTCAATTTAGTTGAAGATTATAAATAGAAAGTTCGGATGATAATAAATTTCATACTGTAAGTTGAATTCGTCTTTTAATTTCTATGTTGCAACCATCTATATTACTGGTTTCTGATGTTGCTGGCGACAGGAATTTTAAATTCCATAGTCTATTTGAAAATAAAAGACTGAGATGATAATAAATTTCATTATGTAGCTGAATTTGACTTTTAATTTCTATGTTGCTACCATTTACAGTACTGGTTTCTAATATTGTTGGGATGGGGATCTTAAATTCCATAGTCTATTTAAAAAGATTTATTGCATTCAACATTTACTTTATTTTTATTTTTACTGTTCAAAATTTCTTTAAATTATTTTATTGGCATCAACTTCCCTATAATTAATTTTTTTTAGTTTTATAAAAGTGAGAATATGGAGAGGGGTTTCTTCTATTTTTTTTATGGACAAAATACCCTTGGGATTAAGTTTGTAAAATAATTCAGTAAATACAAATCAATTAGCAAATATAAATTAATTAGCTAGCATGAATATGAATATAGTAACGGACGGGATGGTATTATGTTTGATTCAAGGGTACAAAAAGAACACCTCTCACTTAGAGAAATTTTCATAAAACTACCATTTAAGTGGCAACTTAGAGCGTATATAGGAGAAGAAGGTCTTATAGGACTAATTGAAATTTCATATATATAGGGAGATAAAGAGTATTGCGTAAACAAATTAAAAACTACCATTCTTAGAGTGTATTATTAGATTTCAAAGCAAATCTTCACGTGACTACCATTCAAGAAGGTCTTATAGGATTGAGTGAAATTCTTACATTGAGTTAATAAGTGAAGGCTCAGTTCAGATCAACTGTACTACTTGCATTTAATCATACTTCATAATCTTTTTTTTGGGTAATTATTTTTGAAGTGGACTCATCTAATTATTTATTCGTAAAATTAATTTTCTATTATTAAAAGTAAAAATCTGAATTGTAAATGTATGACTAAAATAAGTTCATTTTGTTAATGAATTTTCTCTCTGATTGTTTCTAATATAGACTCTTCAGATAAGTCACCATGTTAAATAAAAACAAATGTAAATAAAAATAATTGATCGTATAAAATTATTTTGATTAAATAATGCAAATCAATTAAATAAATGACGATGCTAGAATTTTCAAAAATGAGTGTAAACAAAAGTTGGTTAGTTCGAAGATGAAGAATAATAAATATTACAATAATATATAACTTTATGTTACGAAGAGAAATCACTTATGCAAATTCAAGAACAAATATGAAGATTTGTTTTATTTATTTTTCTTTGGAATTTTGTGCCAACTCAAGATCAAGCTAAATAATATAACAACAAAATTTATATTTAAAAAATAAATTTGAAACAATACAATTTTTAATTATGTATATAGTGTTGTAGAATAAGCTTTTGTATTTATATTTTTATTAAATATTTTTTATAGTACCGTTGTTAATTTTAATCGGGTACATTATTAATTAATAAATATATAAATAAATAATAAAAATCATGAACCACGTGCAACGCACGTGTCACTTACTAGTTTTTATAAGAGTATGAATCTTAGGTGGTTTCTTCCATTTTTTGTATCAACAAAAATATCATTTGAATAAGTATGATTTGGAGGACAATTAAGTAATATAAGTTGAGAATAATTAATTCATATATAATCATATATAACTAATTGAAAATATGTCCACTTTAAATATGATAATTTAATGTGCATGGCTAAACATTTTTTTTACCTACACGACCTTTCATATGTTTCATGCACTGTCATTTTATATGGATAAAGTCATGGTAATTTATACCAAAAGTTTCATAACAAAAAATGGAGCTTTCAAGTATTTCAATTTGTTTTTTTTTTTGTTTGGACTTATCAGCTGATCTGATGGGATTTTCAAGAACGAGGATGGGTAATACATCGGTTACAAAAGGAATAATTACAGTTTTGATCCCCCAAATTTTTACGTTTTTCACTTTTGGTCCTCTATGTACTGTCGTCAACAAAATACATTCTAATGTTGTCAAATGCAACACATTGGTTCTCTCCGCCTGCTTGATCGCCAAGAATCAACAGTAAACGATTGAATTTGAAAATTTTATGTGAAGAAATTGCAAAAGACCCCTATATTATTTTTAATCTTTCTAAAAACCCCTAAAATTTCATTCAACCTCAATTTCACCAATTAACCGATTTTAACCAGGTCCCTCCTTTTGTTTGACCGTCAAGAAGCATCGATCAACGGTTGAATTAGCGCTAAATTTGATATTTTTGTGTGAGGAACTTGCAGTAAGACCCCTATATTATTTTAAAACTTTCTAAACTCCCCTAAAATTTCATCCAACCCTAATTTAACTCAAATTTCACCAATTAACCGATCTTAACCAATGAACCCAGTTTTTACCACCGATGATTATTTTATTTTATTTTTTGTTGATTCTTTTTCCGATGTTGACTTTCTTTTTAACTAGGTTGACTTTTTTTCAATTGATTTTCTTTTTTGCCGCCATTGACCGATGTTAAATGACATGTTTATTGCGTTGATTTTTTTTTTGTTTAAATTGTTGATTAGCGGAAAAAATATAATAAAAAAAAGTCAAACCAATAAAAGACGGGAAACATAGTATCATAAAAAATTCAAAATAAAAGAAAAAAAGGGAAAACTCAATGCGACTCAACGAAGGGAAAAAAATTGAAAAGAAAAAACAAATATCAACGGTTGGTGTTAAACCAAAAAAAACAACTGTACTAGAATGGTTTTCTCCTTTCCAAATTATTCCACACATACGTAATTCATCTTCTTCATATTTTCTTGGGAAGAAATTTGGAATGCATAGGCGGTTCCACCAAGAAAAAAATGAGAAGAAGAAATTAGGGATTTATAAGAATTTTTTAAATTGTATCTTGATCCAAAAATATTAGATTAAAACTTTGTTAGAAGTTTGAAAAAATGAGGTAACTATTGAATTGCATTGAAACATGTACAGTAGAACCTCGATATAATAATACATGATAAATTAACAACCTCTTTTATTGTAATAGCTTCTTTTGGTCCCAATTCGGTAAAACTGTACCAAATTATTACTTTGATAAATAAAATTTTGATAGTTTCGACTCTATAATTTGTAGAGGTTAAATTGTATAAACAAATTGTATGCAATATTATAGTAGCTAGGTGGCATTTTCACATAAGCTATCTAGCATTCCACATTTATTATTAAAGCATTCTTCATATATGTATCATTAAGGTATGATCCCAACAAGGATCATGATAGCGTAAGAGCATGTACAATGGAGCTCTCCAAAAATTCTCTCGATACAATGGGCTCCACATGCCACGTACTCATTTTCATTCACTTTACCTCCTCTTTAATAATGGGTTCGACATTTATCATTCTCCAAATTAAAATTGCTCAAATGGGTTTATTTTATTGCTCCCTAAAATGCTCTCGAAATATTAAATAGTAAAAATACATTCACTATTAATATAAAAAATCACAAAATTAAATTTTCAAGTTTTTTTATATTCAATTAATAAAATTGATATAATTAATTTGATTTCAAAATTATGAATCTTAGGTGCTATGTTCCATTTT